TTATCACCTTGGTGTGACCTTTGATCCTTGTCTGTCGTTTAATAAACATATTTCTACTATCTCTCGTCGCTGTTTTCGTCGTTTGGGGTTTGTTCTGCGAAACCTGCATGATTTCCAAAATCCGGATGTAATTGAGCTTTTTTCACTAGTCTTGCGAGAAGATCATTAGATACATTGGTATCATGGATGGATTTCACGCCAATGCGTGTGCTGAAATCCTCATGAGGCCAAATACAGATTCCAGGCTTTCCTATAAACGCTATTTCTATAAACGGATTAAGCTATTATCTCTTTATATACCGTACTAAGTTCTTGCTGGGAATGTTAGTAATGAATTCTTTAGAGGTCAGGAGAGCTAGGATGGAAATTTCAATTGCCTTGAATATACTGCGTAGATGTCTGGACTCGCCTGAATGTGTTGACCAATTAACTCGCTTATATGTGCCGGATAAATATTTATGTATTCGTTCTGGTCGTAAACCTAGGCTATTCGCACTTTTATCCCGTGCAGTAGCTCGTTTGCAGTCACCATCGTGTCGCATGCTTGATGCTCTTAGGAGCCCTTTCTCACATTTTTTTGCAAAAAAATGTTATTTTTGAGCGCCTCCTTTACCCCCTTAAAAAGATTTTGACTATTTCCAATAGAAGTAAACAGTAGATTTATTCTTCCTATTGTAAGTTAATGTAGAATATTTGCAAATACTATTTTCCTTTTTTTTGTACTGATCGTTCTACCGCAGCTAGTTTACGGAAAGAACGATAACATACATAACTTCAAACGCCAGAATTTCTAAATAATGTTCAATAAATTAGATCAAATTAATTACTACGACATCAGAAATATGTTTTTGTTGTAACATAATGTATTAGAATTTTAATTTTCTATCTCATTAATTATCAAAAAAGACATCTAAGCTCCGTGAGTTTTCCCAAAAAATAATGTAGGTTTACCTCGTATTTTGACATTGAATTAAATAGAATTACTATCAAAAACTTTCATAAAACTAATCTACTATCATTGAACTACTGAAATATGTATATATTTTTATAATTAGTTCATTAATAATTATTTTATAAGACTCGAAACATCACCCGTAAAATGCAATATTACTAGTGCAAATCTACCTACGCGCCGATCAGTAACGGCACCGGCGCAATTTTGTAAAAGGGCTCTTAACGCAAAAATAACAAAATGAAATTGTAAGCAATAGCTATAGTCATAGCAATCCCCTCAGGCATTTGACCCCCTGGTAGTATTCCCAGAATTTGACATTTTTAGGGATAACCCTAAATCTATTGCAAACAAAATAGAATTAATAAGAATACGCTTTGTATCTCATACACATAATTATGTAATTGGGTTAAACTCGTATAGTTATGTGAAATAAATAAATAGTTAACGGTGATAAATACCAGCATAATACTCATATTATGTAACAGGCGAGTTATTTTTCGTCTATTATCATCGGTACAAATGTGAAATCACCTACTTTAATCAAACTTAAATGTTAATTAATATATCTGAGTACGGCCGTTATTGTAAGCTCATCATCTTTAAGCTAAAAGCTTAAAGAAACTCAACATTATCCTTGTAACTGAGAAAGAGCACAGTAAGTAAATACCTGACTAACACACATTTATTGGACAAGCCTATTTACATATGATCAAGTCTAGTTCGTTGTACACAAATGTTGCATAATTATCGTCTCGCTATCTTATTTTGCCATACCAAAGGACGTTACCCTCACTGTCGTCAATCTATTAAAATATTATTAACTTATGGCCTGCGCAGACAAAGGAAGGACTGTATTCCGCGGACTTTTTTGTCTGCCAATAAAATCGCTTTATTTCTTTTCTTTTATAGATAGGTCCGATGACTCCACCCCACCTGATGTTAAGTGACGGTGAAGTACAGACGTGAAGATAGCTGCTACAGCAGTTCTACCTACCACACCAGCCATCCTCAACTTGCCGGGATGCATGTAGCTTCTTCACGCCTCTTTTAAAGGCGTCGTAAAAAGGAGGGAACACGTGAGCGGGCAGTACATTCCATTTACGGATAGTGCAACAAAGAATGAGTGAGTTAGACGGTGACAAAGTAGGCCAGCGCGCGTGGTCCTCTGAAGGAAAGGGGAAGGTGGCATAAGAGAGAATAACTCCTCAGAACACTCACCGTGGTACATACGATAGAACGCGCTTAGTGACGCGCTTACATCTGCATCGGACGTGACGGGAGAAAAATACCGCAAACAAAACCTATTAGCGTCTTAGAAGCCTGGTTGGTTGAATCAGTACTTTTAGATTCGCCTAAAAGGTCGTCCTTAAGAATTCGCATAGCATGGTTTCTATAGATACCACAAAACGGTTCTGGTCCCATCTGTTGTTACCCCTGTGCCCCTGCTCTTGCTAGTTCATCAGCTTACTCTTTGCCGATTATCCCTGAATGACCTGATACCCATTTAAGAATATCTTTATTCTTATGACCCAGGTTATATACAGTTTATCAACGCAGTCTTTCACCAATTTCGAGCATATCGTGTTCGAGTTAATGGAGTTACGCGCTGCTTGGCTAATAGGGAGAAAAGGCCATGACCCACTGCTGGAGCACAGGCCTTCGCTATGGATGGAATAAAGAGATTGGGCTGCGACTCATTATGCGGGAACAACGTCTTAACGTGCCCTCCAAAGCGCGGAGGAGCTCGAGATAGTAAATTTTTGCCCGAAAAGCAGTTCATTGGATGGGTAATGACCGACAACTGCAGAAGTTGCTTAAAGTTAGTAAGCTGTCACTTTTCAGTAATGAGAGGACAAGAAGACAACGCGTGACTTTAAATAGTATAAATTAAATTTTATTGTTCTGAGTTAGCATGTTGTATATTGACGTTAGTGTGACGTAATTTGATTTCTATGAACAAACTGCTGCGCCTTTGCCTGTAACCTTAAAATAGATTTTAAATATATCATGATCTTATGAGGAGGAGGTCAATGGTGCAGGTGAATAGTGCGTTAGGCCTGCGATCGTGGAAGGTAAGCTCTTTCGCAATGGTCACTCATTGGATGGGTGACCAAAAACTTACTATCTCTCACTCCTCCGTGCTTCGGAAGGCACGTTAAGCCGTTGGTCCCGGTTGCATCTGTAGTCGTAAGTACCCGCCAATCCATGCTGGACCCTTTATTTTTTTTAACCTGGCGAAATGCGTTATGCATACCCACCCCTGGGTAAGGCGACGAGGTCTTCTCCCACCTCCCGCCCACCCATTCAGCCAACCCTAAGGCCAGCTCAATGGCTGCTCGGGTTGGGGGGCGGGGGGAGCTCCCCACTAATACTCCGGAATGTGCCCTCTCCTTGCCGGTGGCGAGGACGTGGGTACTGGACGCGCATGATGGGTCATAGCCCAATCTCTCTCTTCCATTCATAGGGCAGGCCTGTGCTCCACCAGAGGGGGCATTAATAGGCTGTGGTGTGGCACCTATATGTGCTTTAAATTAATACATAGCACATATGTATTTAGTAGTTTATAGTATTAGAAATGCATGTTGTGCATCTTGTAGGTTGCAAAAAAGTTGATGTTCTCTTTGTATGCATATATTTACATGGATATTCTTTGTAAACAGTTATGTGAGCAATCCTTCCAAATTTTCAATACCTCTTTTTTAATTGATTCCTATTCTATGTCAAATCCCAAAATCTTGTTTAGTGAAGTTGTTTGGTTTATATACTGCTCTGCTTAATATGTATGAAGTTATCCTTAAATAAATATTTCCTAATGAAAATTAAACATGATGATCTTATTTCTGAAGAATCACTGGTTATTAGAACAAAAATCTATTATTGTTTACCAGAGAATATTCCTGTACAAAATTTGTGAACTTTAAATAAAGGCTGCTCTAAGAATTCCAAATACAAATAAATGGTTACAGATATAAGTGCATGATTCAAAAACTTAAGTTTTATCAGGACCTTAGTGAGTGTAAATAAATTGAATACCAAAGCCTCTATGAAATAATCCTATTTAAACAATTGTTAAGGCAGGGCAGGCGTGGGACCCAGTGCCTTTACCTCGCCGGACAAGATGACGGCCCTTCGATGAGGTAATCAAGTTTTTAGTGGGTAAGGCTTCCTCTCGAGCAGCAGTTGTGGAGTTGCGGTGGGGTATGAGTCATGCATTTTCCTGATGTGGCTGTGGCCCAGGGGCCTCCACAAGAGGGTAAAGAAATAAAAATCTTTACACAGGTCACCAACTTTACTGCCCAAATAACCTTAAACTGTAGGGGGGTGCAAATCGTAATTTGAGATAAGAGCGACTTCCACTTCATCCTTTCATACCAGGCCTTGACACCCATTAATCGAGCCCTGAAGGTTGACAGACAGACAGTGGTCACAGCAATGATTTATTTCAAACCAGCCTGATTCATCTACACTGTGGAGTAGGGTTACCAACTTTAATTCTATCAATTAAAATATTTTCAAAGCTGTTAACTCCAAAAATATAATAGCTGGCAAAACAATGGAAAAAACTATAGTATGTAGTTAAAATATTTACTTTATTTTTGAAATGAATATATTTTTGCTGCTCTATGCCTTAACCACTCCAAAGACACAATGAAATTTGATACCTGTCATCATCATTAAACTTGTATTTGTAAAAATCTGCTTATATATAATATTTAATCCCCTGATAAAGTATGATACTATATTATATAGTATGGTTGCCAACTCTTCTGTGGAGTATGATGCGGTAATTTCAATAACTAAAATAGATTAGTTAGATACAAAAGCTTCACAAGTTATCATAAAGTTATAATGGTTTTTCTGAAGTAAAATATGTGTTGAATATTCTAGTAACGAAACTAATTTTAATTCATCATTATCTAAGTTTTTAAGATAAAAGACACATCGACTGTTATGTTCTCTAAGGAAAACTTTCCGTTCCGTTGTCAACAATAGGACAATAACATTAAAATTTATGTTTTTGTTTAGGTAGGTACACTTTACTCACCAGCGAAAAAGAAGAAGAAATGCGCCTTTATGGGCAAAAGGCTGCGGTTAATATTCAGCTTCATAACTCACGAAATTGTAATACAATTATTAGAAAATAAAAAACCATTATTGATACATTGTAAAAGTTGTTTACAACTTGTATCGGGTCACTAAACGCTCACCGAATTGCGTTACGTACAATAATTTATTACAAACTCGTTCCGTTGTGTTTGTTTCACGCGCGCAAACTATAAAGACAGAAATAAAACGCGCACCCAAGCAATAGAGCCAGATATTTAGAATGAATTTTAAACAGAACAACTTTCAAGGACGACGAAACGAGAACTTCGGTAATGGGCCAATGGACGTCGGACTGTCACAAAGATGACACCACAAAGTGACATTAAACGTCAAAACATTTCTTTTTTCTTCTCTATTGAGAAAGACAAAGGCAAAGTCATGCAGCCATCGTCTTCTTTTTGTATTAATCTTTTTTTTAACATTAGAATGTGGGTATGACGCATTCTAATGTATAGGAGTGTTTGACACGAAATATATCGAGTTGGCTTTTACGATAAGCTTCTGTGAGGTAGTCAATACTAGAATAAAATTCTCACGTCTACTTGACCGAAATAGCGTATATTTTAAATATTCCACTAATTCTTCAGTTGCGCAGATGGTTGTAACATAAAATCACATCAATTTTATTCTACAATATCCACTATGAACAAATTTATGAATAATTAAAATAAGACGCCAACCGCACTCGACGAAATCCCACCAAAAAAAACTGCACGTCAAAACAAATAAACATAAACAATCAATTTTCTTTTTTTCAACATTCTCTCGGTTTAGCGATGGCAAAGGGAATAATGCTCATACAACCTAGTCATCAGTTTTCTTTATTCTTTTTTTACATTATAATGTGGGTGTGATGCATTTGAATGTTTCTTGGAGTGTTTAACACGAAATGTATCGAGTCAGCTTTCTCACAAGCTTCTGTGAGTGTTGACTAACACTACAATAAAGTTCTCACATCCACTTGACCGAAAATTGCGTAAATTTTGAAGATTCCACTGATTCTTCAATTGTGCAGACTTTTTATTTCAGAATATCCACAATAAACAAGTTAAAGAATAATTAAAATAAGAAGCCATCCGCACTCGATGTAATCTTTTAAAGGATCCCAGGTCGTAAAAAGGAGGGAACACGTGAGCGGGCAGAGCATTCCATTTACGGATAGTGCAACAAAGAAATGAGTCACCATATTTTTTTTCTACGCGTTGGAATTGTGGCCACAGTTAGACGGTGATGGGCCACAGGTAACCACTAATTGTATTCTAAATTTGAATCTACTATGAATGCTAGAAGGGCCTTAGAGTTTTGATTAAGAAAAAAAATTAAGAAACTTTGACTAGTTATAATTCTTAAACTACTGGCTCAAATTCAATGAAATTTGAAAAATACTGAGTTTATACAATGCCTCAGATCCGTCAATCAGACTTCTAGTTTTATCGCCAACGTAGTTATAGAGGGTTGAAAATGGCCTGAACTGTTTCGCTTTGCCATTGTTTTTACTCGACTTGGTGGGGGCAGTGCTGTGCCCCCAGACATTTCTATGTGATAATCAGATTTATATAAAATTCAGCAAACATAATTCATGGAAACACACTAAAAACTTCCAACCACCACCCCATTGTTTGACACCAAACTGTCTGGAGTCAAACGGTTACGACAACGAAGTTAAAAAAGTATATTTATTTCTCTTTCTGGCATGTGATATTCGTATACATTTATTGCGCTTCAGAGGAAAAGAGATGCAGATATGACTTAGCCCATTGGTTACTCTATCTTTATAGTCGTATCAAGTCAGGTCAGAATGTCATAAAACTGAAACGGAAAAATAAACATATCTGTCATTTTGGACATAAAATAAGACCACAACTAAAAAATAAGTCTCGAAGCACCTATAAACTTTATTTTTACACTTATTTTAAAATAAAAACTGAATATCAATATTTGTAAACACATCACTTTATTATCCTCATCATGCTTTGTTATTGCTTTCTAAATTATAAATACGATATCGGTGCCAAACCTGGCGTGATTCCCTAAACTTAAAATTAAATTTAACATCAGTCTCTCTTTTTCATTCTGTATAGAGAATGACAAGGATATACTGCTGTCAAATTTAAGTTTAGGTTTAGAGAATCATGATAGAATCGACACCAGTGCCTAACTGTCGTGTCTATTTTCAAACTATCGATAATCCAATCTATTGCTGCCATAGACCATGATTGCTGCACAACACTGCTCGTTGACGGACTGACATCAGTGGCGGCGGGATATTTAAATTTATTGTGATACCTATTTAATTAGTTTAAATAAGATTAAAGTTAAGTAAAAATTAAATAACAACGTTACCAGCACCGCTTTCTTTTGCAAATGGGTGAAAAAAAACATGGAAGAGTTTTTCACAAGCAAGCTCAACACTGCCGTTGATCGTTTTTTGTTAACAAAAGAAAATCTGGAAAACTAAATGTCTTTTTCGGTTGTGTAAGGATCACACAAAAAAGTATAAAACATGGATGAGGAGGACTGCGTAGGTTGCATCAGTTGCATGAGCACAAACGATTTATGCGACCTATTTGCTGTTTACGCTGAAAATGAGGAAACTTACGCGAAAATGTTTGAAACCTGCTTCGACATAAAGGTATAAACTTTTTCACACTTCATGTAATTCTTACGACGAGGATCCTTCTAACTTTTGAGGTTCTAATACTATACTTATCAGACTCATAGAATAATGAAAATTAATGCTAATTTAATTAATAACGCAAGAGATAACCATGACATAAAATTACTTCTGTGTATGTCAAAGTAAACAATAAAAATATTGTATTTTAGATCTTTTAAAGTAACCCACTGAGTTTTGCTTGCTATAAAAGCTTAAAATTCCTGCAAATTATAACTGCCCTTTCAACTTTTTAGGTGACAACAGACTTTAAATACTTATGTGCCATATGTGTAGAAAATTTGGAGAAAGCTGCTGCATTCAAGGAGCAGACTACAAAAAACATGTCTGTTCTTCAGAATTTAAAAGGTACAAGTAAACAGAGTACAAAATTTAAAAGTATATATCAAAATAACACATGTTCTGCTTTTGAAAAATTACAATAGAACTTATCTGTGTATCAAATCATTTGTTGCATTATATTAAATAATGTTAATTAAGTTTGAATCAGTTATCAAGGCTAAATTATCTTATTTATTTTGGTCCTGAGCTATAGTTACTAGTAAGCTAGTATAGCAACATACAGTGGTTTTATACAAATTAATACAATTTAATAACGAAGAAAATTTACATATGAAGATTTTTAGAAATAAGTTCTTTTGCTTACACTCTCTGGTTAATAAGAGAAGGTTTTGTAAGCCACAAAGGTTTTAGTACAATTGTTTCTTGAGCTACCTATTGTCTTTAACAAGTTTATTCAAGAGTGCTGGAACATAGCAGATTTTCTGCTCGAATTGGTCCAAGCCCGTCTGTTAAGTAACCTTCACTTTACAAACGACCGCAGTAGAATAACACAATTTTTTGGTGGTGTTGTGTTTCTGTTGATAAGTAAGGTTCTGCTCCTCAAGGAAGGCAGACTTAGGCAACAGAGTGACTAATAATTTTGCATTGCAAGCGTTTATAGGGTATGGTGGCCACTTACCAGCAGGTGGGACGTACACTTGTTTGCCACCCTTTTAATAAAAAAAAAATAGTTTTATGTACTGTCTTTTAAATTAATATAATAATAATAAAAAACCTTTTATTTACCATGATTAAACTAACATAAACATATTTTTTTTATCTTATATACTAATAATTATGGTCCCCTGAAAGGGTGAAGGCCTCCTCCATTTCCTTCCACCCGTCCCTGTTGGCTTTTTGGGTCCTGTTCTCCCCGGCTGTGCTTACAATGTCGTCTGCCCACCGTTTGAATGGTCTGGTCTGGTCTACTGTCTTTTATGCTTCCAAAACTTTTACCGGACCATGGAGCCAGAAGGGGTGTTATAATTTCTTGTACAGTATGTATTTTGTTCTATCATGACACAGACGAAGAATATTTAGATGAAGCAATGTTGGAGGAAGCAGACGTGGGTTCAGACAATTCTAAGAGTAAAGGGTCGAGGAAGAACAATCAAGGGCATGATGACGACGATGACTTATATGGTAAGTCAATTATAGTTAAAAAAATTAATAAGTATTTTTTTTTTACCCTGATTATGTTAAATACGTACTGTATTTTTTTTATTCCATTCTATTAGATATTAAAACGTAAAATAGGAAAAGTAAATTTTATCTAGGTCCATCTATTACATTTTGACACCTAACCATTGCTAAACAAAATTTGATAAATTTTTAAATAGGGATAGATCGTACTTTGAAGAACTTAGGCTACGTTTTGTCATAAAATTAAGATTTGATGAAATCTGTTTGAAGATAAGATATTATTATTAATATTTATTTAATTATAATACTTATGTGGTACTTTCAATCTCAGTATACTAATGTTTTTTTTTATACTGATACACATATAATTATATTTTATATCGATATACATATATACTCGTATTGATCATACTAACATTGGCCCCACCGGTACCAGTTCAAACTTGGCGTACATACCACTCGGAAACGAAGGTCATCATGAGTCTATTAATGTCACCACTGCTGGGGCACAGTAGGCCTTCGCTATGGATGGAATAGGGAGATTGGACCATGACCCACCACGCGAGTCCAGAGCGGTTTGGCGGTAGCTAAAGACTGCAGATGCAGCCGGGACCAACGGCTTATTGTGCCTTCCGAAGCACAGAGGAACTCGAGATAGAAGTTTTTGGTCACCTATATATGACCGAGCACTGCGAAAGTTGTTAACTTCAACGATCGCAGCCAAACGTGCTTACCACCTGCGCCATCGGGGGGGACATTAATAGGCTGATGATGATGATGATAAAACAGCATAATAATAACCCACCAGACGACATTGATGACGAACACGCCATCCAAGCCTTGGACGAAACCACTTGCTTATACTGCTCGCTGCAGTTGCCCACTGCTGAGATGGTGGCCACTCACATAAGGAGCGCTCACGAGCTGTCCCCTCGCACGGGGAGACGGCTGCGGGAGTGCGCCGTCTGCGGACTGACCATGCCCGACCCGGCACAACATATGGATAGGTGAGTGTTAAGGGGTCAAGTCTACTAAACTCTAGAAAACATAATTGCGGCTGGTAGGCGCTAGGAAACGCGGTTGCAGCTCGGCCAAGACCTTTGTTGTTGTGAGGGACGGATTACAGCTTCGCGGGAATATACAGTCTAGGACCCGCATAAGGAATTAGTGTTTTACAAGTGGGTGTGCTTGTTAAAAATCAGTTACGATCTTGCCAGTATGAGTAAGCATTGATAACATGATAATATGTTCTGAAATCTTAGAAGCACGCCACGGAGCCAAGCTGACAGTGCCTTATTGTTATGAACAAGTATAGGCCATGCCCTACCCCACAACATATGGATAGGTGGGTGTTAATGGCTCAAGTTTACTAGACTCTAGGAAATGCAATTGTGGCTCGGCCAAGACTTTTGCAGCTATGAGCTACGGTTTAGAGCCTGCGAGAATCAGTCTGGTACCCAGCACAACTTATGGATTGGTGGGTGTTAAGGGCTCAAGTCTACTAGACTCTGGAAAACACAATTACGGCTGGTAGGTTCTAGGAAACGCGGTTGCAGCTCGGCCAAGACCTTTGTTGCTGTGAGGGACGGATGAGAGCGTGGAAATTTACAGGACAGGACCCGACACAGCATATGGACACACAAATAATGTTGTTCAGTTGGGTGTGGTTGTTAAGGATCAGTCAGATCTTCCCAGTGAGCAATGATAACAAATGTTCTGAAATGTTAGAAGCACTCCATGGAGCGAAGCCGGCAAAACCTTATAATATTATCATGCACCCGGCGCAGCATATGGTTAGGTGGGTGTTAATGGTTCGTATCTTCTAGGCTCTTAGGCATTTGCGGCTAGGCTAAGACTTTTGCCTCTGTAAACTACAGCTTAGACTACGAGACTACGTAGAAATGCACAATCTAGAAGTTGCTATGAGCTACGGCTAGAGGTCTGCGAGGATCAATCAGGGATACTGCACAACATATGGACAGGAGGGTGGATGTTAAGGGCTTAAGTCTACTAGACTCTAGGAAACATAATAACAGCTGGTAGGCTCTAGGAATCCTTTATTGCTGTGAGAAACGCATTAGAGCTTCGCGGGAATATACAGTCCAGGACCCGGCATAGTATATGGACAGGTAGGAATTAGTATTTTTCAGGTGGGTGTGGTTGTTAAAGATCAATTACGATCTTGCCAGTATGAGTGAGCAATGATAACATGATAATATGTTCTGAAATCTTAGAAGCACGCCACGGAGCGAAGCCGGGAGTGCTTTATAATATTTTTATGCACAGGCCATGCCTGACCTGGCGCAGCATATGGTTAGATGGGTGTTAATGGTTCGTATCTACAAGGCTCTTAGGCATTTGCGGCTAGGCCAAGACTTTAGCCGCTGTAAACTACAGCTTAGACTACGAGACTACGGGGAAATGCACAATCTAGAAGCTGGCGTAGCATATGAATAGGTGGGTGTTAGTGTTTTTAAGACGATCTTCATTGCTATGAGCTTCGGCTAGAGGTCTGCGAGGATCGATCAGGGATACTGCACAACATATGGACAGGTGAGTGATAAGGGCTTAAGTCTACTAGGCTCTAGGAAACATAATTACAGCTGGTAGACTCTAGAGAACGCGGTTGCAGCTCGAACAAGACCTTTGTTGCTGTGAGGGACTGATTAGAGGTTCGCGGGAATAAGAGTATATATAGAGAGAATAGATATGTTAAAGATACCCGTGACTGCGTATCAGTGACTACACTCAGGGGCGTCTTTCCCATAGGAGCGCTGGGTGAGGCCGCACCCGGGCGCCGGGCCTGGCGATCAACACCTGAATGAATCTGGTGATAGATAGTACCTACATACTTACCCAATTATAATTTTATAAATATTGCTTTAAAAACAAAATTAAAACTTACGATTTAAGTACGTACAGTCAGTTTTAGTGTCGCCGCACACGGGCCACACGCCACAGCCACAAACGCCGCTACGAGACGATAGAAGCGGCTACTAAAGTGGCTGAAGCGCGCGACAGCAGCCGACTAAGGTAAGGGAGAGAGGGGTGGGGATCGCGCGAGTGACGCGTGGTGGCGTTTTGTATCGGCGCATTATGTTGCCGGTGCGGGCCACAAGAAGCGAGCAACGACGATTTGTAGCGTGTGGCGGTCACCGGCGTACCATGTGTGGCGAGTCCATATAAAATGTATGAAAACTACAAGAAATATGCCGGTGGCGGCGTTTTATGGTTGTGGTCGGTGGCCCGTGTGCAGCAACACTTAATGATTGTATACGTGTTTCTAGTCAACTCGGTCAAACTATAATACATACACATATACATACATACGTATGCTTGCTTATTTATTTTCTTCTTTATTTTTGTAGCAGTCTATACAATAAAAGATTAATTTGTAAAAATTTAAAAAAGGGGATGCATTGTTGTCTTTTGCACCCGGGCGCCGCATATGGTTAAAACGCCCCTGACTACACCATTCTTTTGGGTTGGAGCGGCGCTCTCGAAGTTATTTTGCTTACGTCCTACTTTGAGTAGCAATTGTTCCACATTGCGTACGAAGAAATTTGGTGACTCATTTCTTTGCCGCACTATCCGTAAATGGAATGCTTTGCCCGCTCACGTGTTCCCACCTGTTCTTACAACCTGGGATCCTTTAAAAGCAGGCCGGCAGGGTGAAGACGCGGAAGAATCCCTAAACGGGGATCCCGCGGCTTCGCGCTAAGCAGCTTAGAGGGTATTCGCAGGACTTTTTAGCGGATATTATGCCGTAAAGCGCCCGTAAGAGTTACGGGGTCCTCGGTGGACAGCCACTGGGGGGTCCGTAAGACTTGCGGGAGCCAGGTGTGAGGTCCGTTCGGCGGTGTGCCTCTTAAAGGCGCCGTTGTCTGTAAATAGCATTTTTTACCTGCGTTATAAAAAAAAAGGCCGGCTGTGAGGATGGCTGGTGTGGCAGGTAGAACTGCTGTATCAGCTATCTTCGCGTCTGGACTTCACCTTCACTTAACATCAGGTAGGGTGGAGTCATTAGTCGAACCCATCTATAATAATGAAAAAAAAAATAACATCCATACTTAAGTATATTCCGATTTTAACTTAATAGTTTATGAGAGACTGCTTCAGGTGATAAAGCTTTTCAACACCTACCTATTCGTTTTGTAACCAGATGCCACAGTGTCAAGTCTGAGATCGAAGGCAAGAAGTACCCGTGCCACTTCTGCGATAAAATTTACAACAGTAAGAAGGCATGCTTCACCCACCTGAGGATGAAACATGGCCGTGAGTGTTTTATTATCACTTTCTTTATTTTTGTAAAGTTATTCATTTGACATTATGGGTTTCCTACAATGCGTAGAGATCGCGCTGCCTTGCAGCTTAAGCTAGGCTAAAAAGAATTCGTCACGGCCATCGGGGCCGCGGTAGCATAATTGGTCAGTCCATTCACCCGGATAGCGAAGGGTGAGGGTTCGAGTCCCGTCTGCTGCCTGGTCCGCATGGATTTTTTCCTAGTAATATTTTCTTAAGATTCAAACATCGAGCAGTTACATGCTTAAAACATTTAAATTATCACCACTTTCTTGTTTGTCTGTCTGCATGTCTGTCGGAGGAGCTCCTATAAATAAATATTTCCAACACTCACACCAATTAGCCTAGCCCCAAAGTAAGCACTATAAGGTTTGTGTTATGGGATACTAGGGTAACGGATAGAATACATATACTGTACATATATAAGTATATTTGTATATAAATATATATTAAACATCCATGACTGAAATACAAATGCTCGTAATCATCACACAAACATCTGCCCCCACCGGGATTCGAACCCGGGACCTCTCGAGTCGGCGACGGCATGAAACCCGGCCGAACAAACCACTCGGCCACGGAGGTCGTCAGCAGCGAGGTATAGCGTAAGTTTTTAGTACGTTCGTTATATGATCGTTGAAGTTACGCAACTTTCGCAATGGCCAGTTATAGGTATGGGTGACCAAAAATTAATTATCTCGAACTCCTGCGTTCTTCAATCTCAAAATCCCGATATTTTAAAATATTAGTAAAGATATTTATTCTCGATCTGGCAATCTTTCCATGGATGGAAAGATTGATTGAATACGGATATTGGCTACGGATGCTAAAGACTGCAGATGCAGCCGGGACCGAACGTTTAACGTGCCTTCGAAAGTACGGACGAGCTCGAGATATGAAGTTTTTGGCCACCCATCCATTGACCGGGCAATGCGGAAGTTGCTTAACTTCTACATCTCGGATCGAACGCGCTAACCATCTGCACCATCGAGCTCCTCTAAATTTTTGTACTTTCAATTACTTAATATGAAAAAAAAACTATCGATTTTCCTAATTGTTGGGTTTCGAAAATGGGTCCGGGCGAATTACCAAAATGTCGGTGATGAAAGTGATGATGATGATGAAGGTTATGAAGGTGATGATGATGATGAAGGTTATGAAGGTGATGATGATGATGAAGGTGATGAAAATCTTCGGTCCTCGGATCGGTGTTGACTGTATGTAGGTTTCCGGATTTAAAACGCTGGTTGTTGCTTTACTATTTCATTTATTCTTCTGGCTAGTTGTTCACATGTTGATTGTTCCTGGCTGAATACAATGCCTTTTTTATTCCTCCCAGGCGGGGAAGCGGGTGTGAAATCCTCATGGATAACCTACAGCCGGCTGCAGGGTTATGTCAGACTCCTACTGACTAAAACACACCCGTTGGGCTGCCTCTGGCCGGGAAGGCCTTTAAAGCTTCATCGGATGCGATGCAGCGCTGCCTAGTTACAAAAACTAGCACATATGCGCTTCTTTGACGACTCGTCAATTTGCCTTACAAATGTTTGTCTTGTATAATAATTAAGCCCCGGCCGTCCGGAGCCATTGACCAATCACGGCGCCCACTTTAATACACATACCCCACGTGTCCTTTTTTAAAGTGTGCCTTCTGATTGGCGGTTCATCACGCGACCATTTCTCCGTCGCATGATGCCCCGCCCCTTTAAAGTAGGCCTTGTGATTGGTCGGCACGTTTTTTCTTGGCTTCCTTTCCTTCTTCCTAACCTTTTCCCTCTCCCCCAATAACCTGTGTAGTGAAACTGTGCACGGACCAGACTCCCAAGTATGTTCCTAGGGAGCGCAAGAAATGCCATATGTGCAACCGAGATTTCAGTCAGAAGCAAATATTGAACAAACACCTATGGAAAGCGCATGGGTTCGAGGTAAGTGAACTGTTAGATAGATCATTTTATTTGTTTCTTATGTTTTCACGCACATCAGTCATTAAATAGCCAATAGCCCAAGCTGGTGGTATATACCAACAGGGAAAATGCTTGGTATATACCACCAGCTTGGGAACCCATTATACAAGAGATATAATCCCAACCCGAGCACACACTGCAAGACCAACAGATACTGTTAGTTCTTTTTGTTTGCATGATTTAACATAAGAGGGAGATAGAAAGCCTCTCTGATTTTGTTTCGCCGGTTCTTCTCAGAAAGGTCTCCTAATTTTGGAACCGGTAATAGTTTACGGTAGTTACAGTCAAATAAATAAACTCAAAATTATAAAAGAAATACATTACTTTATTAAAGAAATTAGCTAATAAATTCAAGCATAGACAATAAAGTTTTAAAAATGTAATGAAAATATATCCGAACGCTCAATAAAAGTCTTTCGAAGATAGCTCGACAAAGTAAATAAAAAAAAACATTATTCTGACGACACATCCCTGCAAAGAATGCGAAATGTCAATAAATAAATAACCCGTAGATCATTTTAGTATCAAAAATTTTTTTAGGTAGCATTTTGATTGTGTTATTTAAATATTGAAAAATGTTGTTGGCAAAGAAACAATACATTATTCGTTATTGTTACATTTTAGAGTTCTAAATGTCACGACAGTAGCTATTAAAAACTTAAAAACAATTTTTTTGGCAATTTATTGAGTTATGTTAAAACAAGTAGAACAAATAAATATTGTTCTTTATGATGTAATCTGCCCTGCGGAATGCTGTGCTGGTATTTACAAATAACCCCTTTTACAAATCTAATAAGATTTCAGAATTTAAACAAAAAAATTGTAAGTGTATATTTATTAAAAAAAGGAGTTTTTTTATAATAAATAAAATTTGTTTCCTTAACTTGTTGTTTTACGACAAGAATAAGAGTACTGTGTTCTGTATTAGTTTTCAGTCCGGTACTAATCAGTAAGAACAAGGTTTTGTTCCATACTAGGTCAAAACTTGATATATTTTGTATTCATTTTAACGCCAAAGCGTTTTAAATGTAAAAAAAATAAAAATATAAAAATCATTATTATAAATATGCTAAAGACAGGCAAAAACACATTCCTGCTCGTACTGTAAAATTTTCCAAATGTAGTTTACTGTGTTTTAGTTTTGGGCAGCCGTATTCCAACAGTTTTTCTTTATGAAATAAATCATGATTGTATTGACGTTGTAACAACATAATGATTTGCAAATGTTGTTACATTATACTTTTAGGCGCTTTGCAGACGACGGGGCGGGGCGGGCCGGTCAATTTCGCCGCGAATAATAGCACAAAGTGAATCCTATACTACAAACGCACACAGAGGGCAAAAAGACCGCGCCGCCTTAGAGCATTTGCTCTAAGCGCGCCGCAGGTGCCCGGCGGGTAGTGGCGGCGTGGCATGTCCGCGGCTGCCCGCCTTGGATCATACAAACCAGTTTATATGCAGTAACGCAGACGGCGGCGCGGGGCGGTCAGCTCAGTCCGCGCCACGCGCTTTTTAGTGATGGACTATTCACTAGAACGAACGTCCTGAACTGACTGCCTCTGCCCATCGTGTGCTTTGTGTACGCGGCGCGGGCAGCCGCAGACATCGACGGGCAGACGCGGTCTTTATTGCTTCGCGGACAAAAAGCCCGCCCCGCCCCGTCGTCTGCTAAACGCCTTAATGTTGTGGAGATTTTTTTCGCTCGTTTTTCTCCACAGCTAAAAAATATGTCAAATAATTTAACGAGTAATAGGTTTTTCTTTGGATTATATTTAAAAGAGTTGTACTATACATCCAACTTGAATAAAAAAGATCTATTGATTTCTGATTTGAAAGATGTTACACAACAAAAGGAGGAGCTCGATGACGCAAGTGGATAGCGCGTTCGGCTGCGATCGTTGAAGTTGAGCAACTTTCGCAGTGGTCGGTCTTTGGATGGGTGACCAAAAATTTACTATCTCGAGCTCCTCCGTGCTTCGGAAGGCACGTTAAGCCGTTGGTCCCGGTTGCATCTGCAATCGTTAGCACCCGCCAATCCGCACTGGGCCCGCGAGGGTCATGGCCCAATCCCCCTATTCCATCCATAGGGGAGGCCTGTGCCCCAGCAGTGGGACATTGATAGGTTGATGACGACACATCAAAAATCTTTCTCTAGGTAGAGAAGCGTAAAGCGTTCATCTGTCCTCTATGCGACGAGCGCGTGAGCTACGGATCTCATTTCAGCGCGCATTTACTCCACGCTCACCGAGTGTACGAACAAGTGGAGGAACTGGAGTTCTTCAATATCGATGGTAAGTAAATCGGAGATGTGATTGGCCAAAATTCGGCAAAATTTCATTAAGAACATTCCCAGTGGCCCCTACCGCCATGTCCTCGGCAATTGGGAATTTATTTAAATCTTGATCCTAGTACACCTGCGTTGGCATGAGCCAACGCCAGTACCCTAAGCACGGGTCAGTATCGAATTCGGATAGTTTACGAGTGCGAAAAGTCATTGTGAAATTTTGTATGGAAATTAAACAGCAGCACTAAGGCGGAAGTAAAGATAACTAAAAATCAGTACCTACACATTTGACGTATAAAATAGATCAAATTCAACTATTCGAATTCGATAATGGTTCGTGCTAAGTGTGCAGTACCCCTAGCACGAACCAATATCGAATTCGTATCGTTTGCGAGTCCGAAATGTCATTGTCAAATGTGTACTGATTTTTAGTTCTCGTTACGTACTTTGTGCCGCTGCTGTTCAAGTTTCTATACAAAATTTGACATTGACATTTCGGTTTGCAAACTATTCGAATTCGCTAATGATTCGTGCTTAGGGTACAGTTCTCACGTAAAAAGAGGAAATCGTGTCAGTATTTTTTTACCAATCGAGCCTTCGAAAATAAATAAGGATTAGGCAGTGAACACCTATGCTGCTCCACTGTGTTTGGATATTACAAGATAAATAACTATTTCCAACACTCACACCAATTATCCTTGTCCCAATGTAAGCACTGCTTGTGGTACCTATGGGATACTAGAGTGTCTGATAGAATACATACATATATAAGTAAATATTTATATAGAAAATACATATAGAGTCTGTGCGGAAAGAGAATGGAATTTAGATTGGAGGGCGCTGTAGTGCTTTTCTACCGTATTTGTAAGGTTTTACCCCTTTTAGACATGATTAAATACAAAAAACCGCAAGAAATCACAACAACAAACAAATCCGTATCAATACAAACTTTGACGTTTTACAGATTGCTGGGTTTGATTGCCAAATAAAAATCTTAATGTTAGTTCCGTTTTTCGCTACGCCCATTCTCTTTCCGCACAGACTACATCCACACCATTTTAACATCAAATAATCTAATTAAAATATGTTTGTTCTGCGAAGATTTCATGTTATTCAAGAGCGCCATACAAGAAGAGACTAAATTCAGGTTTAGGAAGACCACGGCCAGCAAACAGACGATAGAAGGTGTACGGTCGCATTACATGTGCAGCCAATCGGGGGTATACGTTTACCAGGTAATATATTTATCTAATATATAAAATTCTCGTGTCACGGTGTTCGTAATTGAACTACTGCGAATTGGCTCGACCGATTTTCGTGAAATTTTATAAGCATATTCAGTAGGTATGAAAACAAAGGATGCTAAGCTCATACATCCTTTCAAGTAATAAAAAAAAAACATTTTTTTACGTCACCAAACAGGTCCTGCCAGAATAAAAGCGCTGGTGCGACACAATTTTGCATCAGTTTTTTTCATTTGTATCTGTAAATGTGTAATATCTGTAATATTTGGGTTAATAAAATATATTCTATTCTATTCTAGGTCTGAAAATCGGATAACATCTATTTTTCATTCCCCTAAATGTTATTTTTTTATATATTTTTTTTGTTTTTATTTTTTATGATGCATCATACAAAAATATATACAACCCAAGATTTTCACCCTTCTACCACCAACCCCTATTTTTTTATGGCGGTACGAAGTTCTCTGGGACAGCTAGTTACCTATATTTTAATATTTTGAGTACTAAACTGCTAAAGTTATAAATCTTAGGACATTTTAAAATGGAACATTTTTGTAGAAAAAATTCCACGCCTTCCAGTCAGCGGATGGGACTCACCTTACAGCCCGAGAAATACTAGAAAAAATCGACATGGCCATTAGGGTCGCGGCAACATAATTGGTTAGTGCATCCGCCCGAATAGCAGAGGGTGCGGGTTCAGGTCCCGTCTGCTGACTGGTGTGGATTTTTTTTTCTAGTAAAATTATCTTTTGTTTTAATCATGTAACAGTTATATGCTTAATATATAAAAATATAATAAATTACCAATGTTTCCTTACCTATGTAATATCTAATCATAGCATTATCGGTGGTTTTGTTCTGTAACATTACCGCCTTGATTAGCTCTAGACTAGACGATCGATAGTTATTCCCGTTGTCCCCGATAGTGGCATATTCGTTTTCCAAAAAAGAATGCCTTGTGCTACATTACAAATATTCTCAGATACCTGGGTCTAGTGAAAATTAGTTATTCCCAATGTCCCCAACATGCCACTGGATCACTATATGTATTTACTTTAATTGTACAATCTTGATTTCCCTTGACTAACCATTTAGGCCAAGCCAATGTTGAAAAACACAAACATTTTCATCATTGGTCTTTTTCAAATTTTATTTCATAAGTTTTTATGCATTATTGTATTTAACTCGATATTGATGGCTTACTCTCAGGGTAAAGGCAAGCGTCCGGCGCCCGAACGACAAATATACAAGACTGGCAAAGCTTGCCCCGCCCACATGATTGTCACAGAGACCATGGATAGGGTGCTGGTTACATTCTACAAGACGCACGTAGGCCATGGCCGTAAGTGTTACATTTATTTAAACTATAGTGGTATTGACGTACAATAAACAAAAAGTATAATACCTCAGTGCCTTAAGACGAAAGTCTTTAACCAGTGTGTGTTGCCAGTGATGACCTATGGCAGTGAGGCGTGGTCGTTTACTATGGGTCTCATAGGACGGCTCAAGGTCGCCCAGCGGGCAATGGAGAGAGCTATGCTTGGTGTTTCCCTGCGTGATCGAGTCAGAAATGACGAGATCCGTAGGAGAATAAAGTCACCGACATAGTTCGAAGAATAGCCCAGCTGAAGTGGCAGTGGGCGGGACACATAGCGAGGAGAACCGATGGCCGTTGGGGCGGAAAGGCTCTCGAATGGCGACCGCGTGCCGGACGACGCTCAGTGGGAAGGTGAACCGACGATCTGGTGAAGGTCGCGGGAAAACGCTGGATGCGGGCAGCACAGGACCGATCGTTGTGGAGATCCTTGGGGGAGGCCTATGTCCAGCAGTGGACGTTGTACGGCTGATATGATGAAACAAAAAGTTTCCAAATGCCTAATAAAAGTGCAACGAAAAACGTCTAAGCGAGTGTTGTGTACCTATACTTTCTGTAGAAATATAAATGCGGAAATTTGTATGGATGTTTCTTGCTCTTTCAAGCTAGTACGGCTGGACGGATTTGTATTCCTTAAGAGATATGTTTAAATAAATTGGCATAATGATGGTCGCATCACAATACTTATACGAAAATGTATAACTTGCAAGAAAACATAAACTTGTTTCTTTAAAACAGTCAGTCACACACTTAATACAAGAAACATTAATAAACTAACTTGCTACTAGGCTTCACAAAATCAATAATTAATTAAAGGTCTTTGTGTTCACTTCTACAATAAAGTCCCAAGCAATATCCAAGTTCTAGATATGTACAGCGAAATGAAAAAATTTAGTTGTTACCTTAACATCCTCCGTGATTTGTTCAAATCACTTAGGGATTTAATCAAATCTCTGTTTTTATCATATCCCTGCGACATATAAAACGATTCGTATTTCTTTATTACTTTCTCTGCTTGTAAAATTTGTTAGTTGCCGCATCCTACGCTTTTCTTTCGCTCCCAGTCCAATACGATTATTTGTAACAATTTGCTTTCTTTTCACGACCGCTGTAGCTTGTCCATACTTCGAGCCTCGCGAACCAAAGAAGCTTAAAACGGAACGGGTGTCGCCTGACGAAGAGCCAGAGATGAAAACTGAAGACGAGATAAAACATGATGATGACGCCAATTATGTGAGTATTATGACACATATGATTTGTGAAGATTTGAGTATTAACCGTATTCAAATCTACACAAATCATTTTTAAGACTTTTATAAGTTGACGCCAATAGATTGATTATGATGACGCAGATGATTTGAATAAAATGACGCCATTAGATTAAGTATCATGCCGCAGATTATTTGTGAATGATGACGCAGACGATATGGGTATGATGTCGCAGATGATTTGAGCAAGATTACGGCAATAGATTAAGTATGATGCCGCAAATTAATTAAGAATGATGACGCAGATGATATGGAAATGATATTGCAAATGATTTGAGTAAGATGTCGCCAACCAATTGAGTATGTTTGATGTCGTAGATAATTTGAGTATGATGACATCGTTGAGGCAAAAGATGTCAGTATGCTGAAGCAGATAATTTGAGAATAATACGTTAATGATGATTTGATTATGATTATGCAAATTATATCAGTATGATGACGACGTACCAAATTTTATAGCGACGTCTGTAATTTGAAAATGATGAATCCGATAAATCTGAGTATAATTCTGATCTGAGTGTACTTTGATGACGTGTGATAGACTATGATGACGCCAATGATTTGAGTATGATGACTAAATTAGTTTTATTTTTTGTTATAATCGTAACATTTAGTTACCTGATTCTTTCTTTTAAGTTAAGAAGTGCCTATGTATGCAATGTCCGTATAGGGTGACAAATTGTACCTACACCAGAATTGATTAAATTTCACTGTACCTTGGTCATAGAGGTATAAGAATAGAGTAGGGGAGATATGTACTCTACTACAAGTGGAAGTGTCCGTCTAGTAGAAAGAGAAAGAAGATGAGAGACGGCTAGCTATCTCTCTCTCTTGTGACGCTGCGCAGTCGTGTGATTAGTCGGTATTCATCCGTAGGTTATTCATCCAATGCGCATTCGCGATTAGAGAGAGAAAGGCTAGCCGTCTCTCATCTTCTTTCTCTTTCTACTAGACGGACACTTTTAGAGCGGCCTTCCCCACTCTATTCTTATACTTCCATGACCAAAATTTTTAATATAGTGTAGGTAACACACTATTAAAAATTTTGATTCGATGGATAGTTCTCTATCATCAATTATTGTTTTTAATTTTTTTTTTGTTATCCAATACTTCTCGATGTAGTTGAATTTTTATTTCTGCTGACTGGACTAAATTTATGTATGTGATATATTTATATTATGTGTATATATTTGTATGTTTATATGTATTTAACTCATAAATTCCTTAATAAAGTATTTTGCTTTTATTAACACCGCCAACTTCAGCTTTCTTTCAATCCTCCACTCCTTCTTTCAAATCCACAGGTTGTCTGGGAAAAAATCGCTGTTAGCGAGAAGACCGCCAACATTTTTACACAAATTAAATGTGTAAAAAAGTTAGCGGTCTTCACAACTTTTTTACCCCATTTCTGTACTGTACTGTATTTAATATTGTGTAATTTATTGTATTGTATCAGTTTGGGGGTTGTTCATCCTTGTCTTAATATTGGTGTACATTCAAGCATGATTTTCTAAGCCTAAACTTAAATTTTACAACAGTGCATTCTTGTTTATCAATAATTCATTTAAATGTCTTTGTGTTCACTTATACAATAAAGTCCCAATCAAAATCTAAGAGTTAACCATAAATAAATTCAAAGATAGTAGTAAAAAAAGTACTTATTTAAAAAGCTTATTACAAAGTGTCTGATATATTACAGACAAAAATACTTGGGTTCGAACTGTTCCAATCATTCCAACAGGTTTTTCTATATTAAATAAATCGTGATTGTATTGACGTTGTAACGACATAATGATTTGTAAATGTTGTTACATTATACTTTTGATGTTGTAGAGTTTTTTTCGCTCGTTTTTCTCCGCAGCTAAAAAATATGTCCAATAACGAGTGGTAGGGATTTTCTTTTGTATGATTCAAATATATATGTATATACATCCAATTTGAATTAAGATAATATATTGATTTCTGATTTCTGTCTTTTTCTATACAGAATGAAAAGGAGAGACTGATGTTAAATTTAGTTTTTAATTTTAGAGAATTATGCCAGTAACTATTGTTCATTTCAATAGGGTGAAGGGTCTTGGATGTGCGACACGTGCGGTGTAGGATTCGTTGACGAGTGCAAGTTCAGAGAGCACGTCGCCGCTCACAATCTGAATCTGTTCCCGTGCCAGTATTGCGATGAAGTAAGTACTTTGTTTGTATACTTTTTTGTTGAGGAGCTCGATGGCGCAGGTGACTAGCGCGTTCGGCTGCGATCGTTGAAGTTAAGCAACTTTCGCAGTGGTCGGTCATTGAATGGGTGACCAAAAATTTACTATTTAAGCCGTTAGGCCGTTGGTCCCGGCTGCATTTGCAGTCGTTAGCACCCACCAATCCGCACTGGGCCCGCGTGGTGGGTCATGGCCCAATCCCCCTATTCCCCAGGGAAGGCCTGTGCCCCAGCAGTGGGGACTTAATAGGCTGATGATGATGATGAGGTAAGTACTTTGTTTATACGGTCCAAATATCTGTTCATAGTCGACGTACAATGGTGCTCTCACACTGCTGTAAAACAATGTTTATAAACGTTAGATCACATTCACAATGTTACTCAAATGTTTTCTTAATAGGTTGTTAGTAACAAAAACATTTATAATCACAATAGGGATGAAGACAAAATAAACGATTTAATAATCCGTCACAGATATGTAGAAAAATTGAATTTTAATTTTGAATAAAAATACTTTGCGGCGTCATCAAGATCATTTTGAAGTGTCGGTGTAGGTCAAGACATCGTGTCAATATTATCCAGTCCATAACATAAAGGGTATCACCCCTTATCTCTAAGGCCCGTATTAATAGATCGCTCTCAACACAAACTATACTGGTTTTACAAAAAAAAACAGCATCTCAAGATCTTACTCAAGACCGCTCTCAGAACCGTTGAGAACGTTCTATCGTTACGAGCCTTAACCTTTACCAGTACCTAGAGTATAAATGGTAATATGCCAAAGGCTTAAGCGTTTATAAATTCATCATCATCTTCATCAACCCATGTTCGTCCACTGCTGGACATAGGTCTCCCCTAATGCACGTCACTACTCCCGATTTTCTGCCACTGTCATCCAGCCCATCTTGTCTCAGGGCGTCCTACACTACGTTTACCGAGTCGCGGTCTCCACTCAACAACATTCCGGCTCTAACGGCCGTCAGTTCTGTGGTTAATGTGACCAGCCCACATATTCATAACCTGATTTAAAAAAAAGTGCTACGTTACTCAAATCCGGTTTGTAGTCTTACTCTTACGGTTTGGCCGCTGAAACAGCACCACAGACAGACGGACGGACGGACTTGTCTAATAGATAAGAGATTATATTCATATTCATACATTTATTTACAAAAAACATGGTACATTAAATAGATGTTACTTATTCGCTAAATTAGCATGCAAATATCAAATTCCTTTATAATAAATCCAATTAATATTAATATTGTAATTAGTCACATTAATACCAATCATATTAAAACCATAATTCATTATACATGTCAACAAATCTATATTATTATTTAATAAATTATACATAATTTTAGTTCAATTTACAACCATAAAACTTCAAATCATTCATTTCATTTACATGTCAAATTATCAAGCTAATGAAACATTATTAAATCACTGCAATAAACATATAGCACACATATTAATAAAAACAATTTTAATTAATTTGTCACTTATTATGTCTGAGTTCAAACATAAACTTTAAATATTCCTCTACTGAGTAAAACCACTGCCACTTCAGTTTGCTAATTCGGTGACTCTGGTTCTCTTTCGGATTACATCATTTCTGATGCGGTCCTTCAGGGATACTCCGAGCATAGCCCTTTCCATAGCCCTCTGAGCGATTTCAAACTGGTGGACTAGTCTAGCCGTGAGTGTCCACGTCTCGGCGGCGTATGTCATAACTGGGAGGACGCACTGGTCGAAGACTTTCGACTTGAGACATTGAGGGACGAGAATACTTGACGTTTATAATTATTACATTTAAAATAGCAAGGTTATGTATACTCGGAAATTGTTTTAAACACAGTCATAATTTTGCAGGACTTTCAAGATTTAGAAGCTTGGACCCACCACGTGCGAATGGAGCACAACATGGCCAGTCTGTTTTAGTAAAATATACCTTAGTGTTAAAGTAATACATATAAAGGGTGTTACAAAAATACAATTAAAGCTTGAAGGGCGTTGAAGTACATCATATAAGGAGTCTTCTCTAAGTTTCTTAAATTTTTGCATGAAGTTTTAACTTTTTATAAAAACACTTATTTTTAATGATTAATAAAAGTATCCATCACTTTAAGACACGTCATTAGTTCGAGGATCATTACGCCCTTCAAGCTTTATTTGTATTTTTGTAACACCTGTATATTTAAATGGTCAAATTATACTTTTCGCTCAAAAAGGAGAGATTTTTATTTATAAAAACAAATGGACAGATAAAATATGTTTTTATTATATCCTACTAATGAAGTGTTCGATATTTCGTTGTTGTTAATAAATAAAATTATTTAGTTTTTTCTAATTGTTTGTTTTTATTGTATTCCCCGATTTTCTTCAAAGTAGTATAAGCAATATGTTAAAAAACTAACCTATTTGTACTAACAATAACAATACATCCATAGTGGGTTAGTAACAAACAGATTATACTTAAAAACTTATATTAGTCAATATACACATACAGCTCGAATAAATAAATAAAGATTTGACAACAATGTCACCTCACGATGCCATCGCCTCGCGTGTTAAAAACGCGTTATACTTATATCATATCGCGGTGCTCATGCTAGGGGGGCAGGGCGACCTATCGTTCTGCCAACGCCCTCAGATTGGTGTTGGGGCTGCTGCGCCCGCCCAAGTAGCGAGGTGCAGCGCTTACGCATGATGTGACGCTTACCATATGTATAATGCGATTCAAATAAGAATAGGAAAGCCAATGACCTCCATCTGTCAATTTGAATTGACAGCTGTGACATCACAATATGGCGCCCCGCCTATCTTATCCTAAGTTGAATCCCATTATACAGGATGGCCGGGGAGTTGACGTTCAAGCGTAAAATTTAGATACTTTATGATGAGGAGTATCCAAATCAACCCCATGTATGTTCTACGATTTTGCGTAGTTTTCGAGTTATATTTTTTTAATGATTTTTTCGTAATTTTCACCTAACATCAGTTTTCGATTTTTTTCTCATTCTGTTGGACGTTTCTGGTTCAGTTTATTTGTGATAACTGACTAACATAATCTAACCTAGCACCCTAAAACTTATGGTTTATCAAGGCATTGCAGAATTCACTTAGAATTTGTTCGAAAGTTCAAAATTACGATTTGAGCTCAGTACACACAAATTTTCAAAGTATCAAAAAAAATTTAAACTGGGGTATTTGGATTTCAAAATGCTTTTAGAAACTTCCTGAGACATTAAACTTTCAAACAAGGCCAAATAAAGAAAGGGTTAATGGGGGTTTATTTTCTGTAACTGACCTTCAAAGTAAATTAAGGCATTTTCAATGGAATTATTTTATTTTATTTAAATCTTTGACTTTCTATGAGTTATGATGGATTTGAGTAAAACGCAGTTAATTGTGAACAAAATACATTTATTTAAAGCAAATTTTCAAATTTTTGCCCTCCCACAGCAATACACAATCTTCACGGTTATTTTTTACAGTGGTTTCAGCTTCGCGAATTTTTGCTCTCAGTTCTTCTTCACTCGAAGCTCCTCTGACGTACGCAAATTTCTTTAAAGTAGCCCCAGATAAAAAAATCAATAGGGTTGAGGTCAGGGGAGCGTGGTGGCCAGGCAATTGGCCCTCGTCCGAACCACCTGTTGGGGTAGGTCTGGTCTAAATGGCGACGCACTTGTGTCGCGTAATGACATGGCGCCCCGTCGTTCTGGAACACCATCGTTCTTCTTAATTCAAGATTTACATCTTCCAGTAATATGGATAGATTGTCTTCTAAAAAACTTTTGTATGTGTCGCCGTCTAATCTCGATGGCAGTTCAAATGCGCCTATTATTTCGCCATTCAAAACACCAGACCACATGTTAACGCTAAAACGATGTTATAATGATGATGGTGTGGCGGCATGTGAACGGCCCAAATGTGAAAATTGTGGATATTGAAAACCCCAGTTCGCTCAAATTTGTTAAAGTATCCGGGATTTTCTTCCTCTTTCTGCAACATAGTTCTACAGAACTCGACTCTCAATTGATAACCTGAAGGCTGCAACGCTTGTACTTTTTGTATGTGTTAGGCGTGAAATGATTCCTCACGCAAAATATCCTGTATTGAAGATCTTGGTATGTCAAGGTTACGAGCTAATGCTCTCGTACTTGTACTATTGCGTTGCACTTCTTCCAGTACGATTTCCCTGCGTTCCTGATCAACCCTCTGAATGCCTTCACCGCCACGTTGGCCAGGAATGCGGCCTGCCATTAACGTATTGTGAGTATTAATGAACACACGATAGTCAGGGTAATGATCAGGTTGCGCTCCGCCTCGGCGTTGAAGTTGATCGCTGTAGAGTCTTGCTGCTTCACGACCGTTGCCTTGTGCAACGCCGTAGAAATAATGCATTCCTGTATATTCACTTAGAGTGTAGGGCATCACTAACACTTCCAAGTAACTACAGTCCAAATCGTTAGGCACTACGGAATCCAGTAACAAGCAGGGGTCAAACAAGTAAGCAGCGGCGGTATCAGTAGGCAAATAGTGGTCGAGAAAAAACGGCAGAACAAAACGAGTAAGTAAACACAAGTAAGTAGTAGTAGAATTTAGGTCATTAACCAACTGTGTTTTACTCAAATCCATCATAATTGAGAAATAGGCAAAGATTTAAATAAAAGAAAATAATTGTTTTTTTTCCTTGAAAAATGCCTTAATTTACTTTGAAGGAAGGTCAGTTACAGAAAATAATCCCTCATTAACCCTATCTTTATTATGCCTTGTTTTATAGTTTAATTATTCAGAAAGTTTCTAAAAGCACTTTGAACTCAAAATCCTCCCATTTACATTTTTTTTGATACTTTGAAAATTTGTGAGTACTGAGCTCAAATCGTAATTTTTAACTTTCGAATAAATTCTAAGTAAATTCTGCAATGCCTAGATAAACCATGAGTTTAAGGGTGCTAGGTTAGACTATGTTAGTCAGTTATCACAAATAAACTGAACCTGAAACGTCCAACAGAATGAGAAAAAAATCGAAAACTGATGTTAGGTGAAAATTACGAAAAAATCATTAAAAAAATTATAACTCGAAAACTACGCAGAATCGTAGAACATACATGGGGGTGATTTAGATACTCCTCATCATAAAGTATCTAAATTTTACGCTTGAACGTCAACTCCCCGGCCACCCTGTATGTGTTTCGGCAAACATGCCGAAGGCACTGCAGTGACGCGGCCCAATCCCCATCAACACCATGAACGCGTTATTATTTAGAACAGAGCAGGACTGTGAGTTAAGGGGGCCCTGGGCTAATAGTATTTAGGGGCCCACCTAATTACTCAAAGTATAGAAAAAAAATGAGAGTAAAATATTTAATTTATATTATGCCTTAGTTTTATACTACTGTTAATATATCGACAAATTACAAAGCAACCTTTCTGCAAAGTGCAGACATGGCAAATTCTTTAATTTGCTCCTCACATTTTAGGGGTAATATAATTGGGGTTACCTACATTCAACAATATATTTTTTCTACATTAAGTGTACTTCTAATTATTGAATCTACTGCTTTAAAGAAAATAATTTAAATTTTCTTTCTTTGGTGAATCACTAGTTCAGCTTTAGACATCTATTTTGAAAATATTATATCTGCTATTTCTTATTTAAATTCAGCGATATTTGCCTGTCTGAATTTCCGATCTGTTTAATAAAAGTATGGATTCTTCCGCATTGTCGTCTATTTTTGGCTTTGTCTTGACTTAGCTGGAGGGCCCTTGAATCCACGGGGCCCTGGGCTGAAGCCCATAAAGCCATATGGTAGATCCGGCCCTGGTTTAGAATGATGTATACTCGTATACTAAATACAACATCGTTCACTATAAGCTGAAAGCATTAAATTGAATTGTGTCCGAGAAACCTTCAATGTTATTGGAGTTTACTCCTCAAGAATCGATTTGCATATATAAGGGGCCCGGTATGAGAAAAATGTGAGGAGTAAAATCTATCGATGAATGACCTCGTTACGTTTTTGGTGCGCATCCTGTTCGAGCCAAAATGAATCTTAAATCCGAAAGCTTAGGTACAAAAGAATTAAATTAAAAATCTAGAGTGTATTTTGTTAGACCATAAATTTCTTTATTGGTTAGGTGAAGTTTTGCCTATATGTAGCTCCAAACATACACACATCAAAAGTGTCTAGGGATCAAGCATTTTTATGCGGATTTCTTGAGATTGAGATGTGGCTTTGTAATAAATTTATGATTTTATAAATTTATATGGATCCTTTTTGGTGCATTTCATAATTTGAATCAGGAACTGTGAATCAAATTCGAGTAAAAGATGAAAATCAGCTGTCAATATTTTCCCTATAAAAACATACAACGCATTGAAGACATTATTAGTGCTACTGTTTCCCTACTACTGATTAAAACCAACGTTATTATGGAGCGGCGACGTCATTTAAGCAGGGAAGAAATGCTCAGAGCCGTGGGAATGATAGAAGCTGGTTCCCGGCAACGTACTGTGGCTTTAGCTCTGAATACAAGTCAGAGTGTTATCAGTCGACTTTGGACACGATACCGAAGCACTGGTACCGTGGCTGAGCGCCATGGAGGACGGTATCGCTGCACCACACGGAGACAAGACCGATACATTCAAATCTTAACTCGAAGAGCTCCAACAATAACCGCCATGATGTTAGCCGTGAGGCTTCATCACTCTTCAGGGAACTTAATTAGCGACCAAACAGTCAGAAACCGCTTGCATGAAGTGAACCTTCATTCCCGAAGACCGCTACGGGTACCACCTATAGCAATGCACAATCGTAGGATTCGATATCAATGGGCTCTTGAACACAGAAATTGGGCAGAAGAACAATGGCGTTTCGTGTGCTTTTCTGATGAGTCTCGTTTTGGTATGAGACCGGATACAAGACGTATACGACACTGGAGAACCCCTGGACGCCAACAGCGATTAAAATCCTGCCAGGAAGTCCATCCTTATAGTGGTGGAACCATCATGGTA